TCAGCAGTCTTCCCCATGATTGTGTAGCCTAGTGAACCAAACTGAGAGACCATTTTGATTCGCTGATTGGCATGTCACCATATTCTAATTTGTTGAGATAGTGAATTGGTGGGTTTTTGTTAAATGTGAGCCAAAATCATCACAATTAAAAGAACCAAAGACTTAAACTACTTCAGTCTGTGTGCATTGAATTTATTTAAATTCACGTGCACCCTTAGATTTTGAGCCAAGTATATTTTCAATGCAGCTTCCAAAAGACAAAAAACCATCAGAATAATATTTTTATATTTAATACGATCACACCAGCTTGGTATAAACATTCAGTGCGGCACATCACCAGCTGCTAAATTCAATTCTGTGTTGACTGGTTGGCTCTTAACCCAGAAACAGACGCGTTTTTACAACGCTGCGCATTATAACCAATCACACACGATTCTGTTGAGCTTATGAATGCAATGACCAATCAGAAGCATTCAGATGAGTTATCGCTGAAACGCTGGTGTTTTGTTCACGCACTCGCTGACTGAATTCTGCTCTCCGGCAAGTTCTCTCATCAGAAACAACAATGAGCAGATGTGTGTATAAGATAAGATATTAATTCCACAGTGTAAACAGCTTCAGGGATTTTAATGGTAGTTTTTGAGAGTGCTTAAACACTGGTTAGACTATAATCAGTGAAAATGTTCTTTGATAATGTAAATGTTCTTTGCTCTCTTTCTTTACTATGAAAGTGTTATGATTAGTAACTTACAATGTTTTTATTAAATTCACATTAAATACAAAGTCAGTCGTATTAAACATTTTATGGCATGATTCCCATGTCTGGTACTTAAGTAAAAAGACAGGTTTTTATGCGTAGTTAATAGATTACACTATTAGGCTACTTTGCCCATCACCCATTATAGATCAACTAACATGATGTGTTTGGAAATATGTCAAATAAAAAGGAAAAAACAAATAAAACATAAGCCTACCTAGTACCTAAAGAATAAAAGTAGCTAATGAATAAGCACTAGTACTTAATGGAAAAGATACTAGTATCTAAAAAAAAGTACTAGTAGCATGAAAATAGATACTAGTACGGTTTAGAGATTAAATGTTAAATGGCTTGCCATAGTAGCTACATTTCAGAGACATCTATCTGATGTGCGTGTTTACATCGAAGACATATTTTTTAGTGTCTGCAATACGTATTGGATGATTCCTCAGATGTTAAATTAACATTTATAAAAAGTATTTAAGATGTTCATTGTTTAGAATGTTCGTAAAACTGACATCTTAAAGACGTTTATCAAATGCTTGTACACAGCAGATGCCTTCCAGATGATGTGATCTTTAAAAGACATCCTGCAGACGTAGGCTACGTGTGCATCTGGGTGTTTTCTAGAACTAATGTGGTTGCGTGCGTCACATATGACATATATGTTTCTTAATGAAATGTGTATTATTGTAATTTATTATAAAAAAAAAACATTATTTAAATAAACTTAACATGGGTTATAATAGTTGCTTATAATAAACCCACCTAAGAGAGCAGAGAAATCTATAAGGCCTACCTGAGGCTGATGATGGTGCTTGGCCAGTCTTAGCAATTTCTGCGATTTGGCTGTCCTTTTCCATCCAAATAGTGCTTTGGTAGATTTGGACGGGGTTGAAATCATAAGTATAGTCTGTGACACAAACTTCTCTGACGTCCTCCTGGAAAACTTGTCTTGTCCGAGTAAGGATTTAAATGTCCGATAATTTGGACATGTAACGCTTAACACATAATTACATTAAACTAAAACCAACATCAATGGTCATTACGTAGTTCCAACAGCATTTATAATAACATGATTTTTAGCTAAATATGGCAGGGGTATTTTGGTACAAACTTTTTTGAAAAAGTACTGAAAACATTTGAAAGTGATGTATAAACCCATGTTTCATATTAATATAACTTATAATTTAATATAGTTTTTTTTTTCTTTGTGGGACTTAGGGTTATAATAGTTGCTTATAATAAACCCACCTAAGAGAGCAGAGAAATCTATAAGGCCTACCTGAGGCTGATGATGGTGCTTAGCCAGTCTTAGCAATTTCTGCGATTTGGCTGTCCTTTTCCATCCAAATAGTGCTTTGGTAATTTGGACGGGGTTGAAATCATAAGTATAGTCTGTGACACAAACTTCTCTGACGTCCTCCTGGAAAACTTGTCTTGTCCGAGTAGGGATTTAAATGTCCGATAATTTGGACATGTAACGCTTAACACATAATTACATTAAACTAAAACCAACATCAATGGTCATTACGTAGTTCCAACAGCATTTATAATAACATGATTTTTAGCTAAATATGGCAGGGGTATTTTGGTACAAACTTTTTTGAAAAAGTACTGAAAACATTTGAAAGTGATGTATAAACCCATGTTTCCTATTAATATAACTTATAATTTAATATAGTTTTTTTTTTCTTTGTGGGACTTACAAAATAAATAGATTGTGAGTATTGATATATAGGTACTGTAGTACTGATGTGCCCATCCCTAGTAAATTACTCCTGTAACTACACAAACTATAACATCATTTATGCCATATCAGTTCTGAGTCTGATAATACAGTCAAGAAAAACAAGCTGATCAACCCGAATCACCTTTGAAAGTACAATTTATATATTTATTTTTACCACTATTCAGAAAGCAGTTGTCAGAAAAATTGTGAGAATGCAACAAAAGGTTGTGGTTGTACTGAGGGCTTTGTTGATGCACTGAGCAGCCATATTCAGAACTCAACTTGAGGCGGTGTTCCAGTATAAAGTTTCTCTTTCAAACTCAAAATTTCTGACTTATTTCTTTCACTGAAATTCATGTTTCATGATCTGTGTGACTTTTTCTGTTAACTCCATTATGTATTCAGTGTGCTCCCCATTGTAAAGAGACCGCAGGGTTAAGATGGGAGAGAGGGAGGGAGGGCTGGGTTATGTTGAATTGAGATGTTACTTTGCTTTCATTCTGACTTGTTTGCAAATTAAAAAAAAGAAATCTGACTTACAAGCACAAATGGAACGCACCATTATAACTACCTTTGTTTGAGGGCCAGCAGTAGCCAGCAGGCGGGTATTATGCAAATGTATTAAATGATGACGTAGCTACTGTATGTCACAGAAATAATGACGGACAAACATTGTAGGATTGAGGATTTCTGAAGTGGTCACCTTTATTTAAAAGACTCATATATCAGTCCAATCATGTTTTGCTTTAAAAAAAAATTATGTTAACATGTGGTTGATAACACAGGGTTTCACAACTCTGGCCCTCAAGATCTATGGTCCTGTAGAGTTTAGCTCCAACCCTGACCAACGCACCTGCCTGGCTTATTTTTTTTTATTATTTTTTTTTAGAAATCCCGAAGGCTAGCTTGATTGATTAGCTTGTACATATGTGTTTGATCATGGTTTGAAGATCAATTTTCCAATTAAATGTGTCCATATATTCTCACTCTCTTACTATTATAGATACACTAGAAAGAAAGAAAAATATTTGAGTCAGAAGCAACACTACAAATATGAATTCCTTGCAACCTTTGGATGGTATCTCCTTACTGTGACTCAGTATCCCTGGGAAGTAACAGACAAAATATGTTAGTGTACAAGAGACAAACGAAATCCACACACAAGATTAAAACCCAGTAGAAGTTATATTTAGAAGAATATATCTATTGGGTTTTGGGTTAAAACTAACTGGCACTCTATTAATAGCAACTGCATCATCACCACTAAACCCTTTACCTGGTTTATTGCCACATTGATCACCGTAGAGTCTGTGCTGTTGGTGGCTTTGCAGGCAAATGCTGAGATAAAGATGGAGATGATCAACTGAAGGATGGAGAACACCAGCAATATTCCAAGGATCCCTGAACCAAACCCCTAAAAACATACATTCAACATGCTCATATTGAAAGCAGTTCCACAAATAACATCCCAGCAATTATATTGATTTTATTCTGATGATAAGAGTGTATCTCAAAAATCAGGATATAAAACTTCACAAATCTTCTGTCATTTGCACACCCTCTTGTCATTTTATGATTTTTTTTCTTCTAAAGAAAGTATTTTAAAGACTGCTTTAACACAATTACAATGAATGAAGACTGAGCTTCCATGCTTCAAAAACACAAGAAAGCACCATATAAGCTAGAACTGTTCATACAACTTGTGTACTATATTTCAAATCTTTTCTAATCACCCAATAGCTTTATGTAAGGAACAACCTGGGGTTTATATTAAGATTTTCATTGATTAATGACATATAGGTAAATGATAACAGAATCTTTTTGGGTGAACTTTTACTTAAATAAAACCGCAATTAAAACAAAATAATGTACATTTAGTACCTGAGGATTTATACAGTCATGCTTATAGCAATTTGGACGAATCGATGAGGTGATTCCTATGTCTGCACCCATCAGAATAATGGATATCCCTGCAGTTATGGCACTGATCACATTCATTCCAAGAGAGGCTTTCAACTACAGGGGAAAAAAGCTTTTAAGTGCTAGGAATTGTGATGGCACATACTTGTAAAACATCCTAAACTCTGTAAAGTAATAATGAGTCAGATATTTTGATCTGTTAGTGGTAAAATAATGAATGTCTAAAAATAAAATGAACGTTGTTTTTTTTAAATAAAAAATAATGAATGTTGTGCTAAAAAAAGCTGAGTTTAATATCTAATGTTTAATATATGGTGATCAAAATATTGTGTGTGTGTGTGTGTGTGTGTGTATATATATACAATATAAATAATTTACATTACTAAATTAATTGTAGTGCAAGTATAACTGATGAATATGATAAGTTAGGCAAGGTCAGTTGCACACCTGATACAAATCTTGATCAAAATTTTTTTTACCACCTTTCTAAAGCTGCAATGAGAGCTTTACTGCTAACAGATTACGATGTCTGGACTGATGCTCAATTGTTGAGAGCTTGTGGTGATTTGAATTGAGTACAATTCAACAATTACTTGAGTAATGTAAATAATTACTCTCACGCTCAGATTTCAGCATATTGTGTGTGTACATACCACACATGGATGAAGTTTATTCTGCGCCTCAACAGACAGAGAGCCAGCACTGATGTACTGAGAAAGAAACACAGGACATGTTAAAGTTCATTCAGGAAATAAAAATTAAAAGGGAATTAAAGCTAAACTATTAAATTAAACTTACAATGAAAGATCCCCAGAAGGTGATGCCACTAGCGACAGAAATAGTTCTAAATATGGGGAAATTTGCGGTGAGTACAATACCAAGTAAGAAGACCATCACTCCAATCATTATCTGTACAGCCTAGAGAGCAGATATACAGTAGGTCAGGTGTTTTATTCATGATGGCATAACATTTATGGTTGGAGACACAAAAATAGAAGCTATTTGTGTTTAGTAGGGGAGAGCGGGGCACAAAGTAACACTTTTTGACTTTCTCAGTTTGTGTAAATCCACGTGGGGTTCAGAATATAAATCTTTTTTTTTATCCACAGTAATTTTACACTTGTCTAGTACAAATATGTCGCTTTGTTTCATAATTACAGTGTATACGTTTTTCTTTATTTACAAAAAATAGAAATGAAATGTGACAACATGCCCCGTAGGTGGGGTACATTGTAACATCTGAGGGGCACGTTGTAACATGACCATATAACAGCTTAAAATGTTATCTGATCGAATGAAAAAATTTTACAAGACAAACTAAAATATTTTGTTAATAAAATAATAAAATAAAATAATGGCGTTTTTTAAGAATTAAAAATAATCTGATTTTGGAGTTTGACAATGAACACATTGCAGCTTGGGACGGCCCATATACATGAGCAAAATGCTTTACGTCTTCACATATTTATTCACCTGTTTCTCGTTGTTTCTCATTAAAATTCATTAAATTAAATCGTGTAAATTACATCGTTAATGTCATAGAATAGTACATTGTAATGCAGTGTTACAATGTGCCCCATCTGTGCAACAGGAATTTAAAACTGGTTAGTGTCTTCTGCTAGTTATCAAAGCATTAAAAAACTAGCTAAACTGATAACAGATTGGAGATTAAAATAATAGCAGATTTGTCTCATTTTAAATGAATAATAAAAACTGAGATGAATTTCGGCCCAATTTTATTCTATATAATGTTGATATGGTAACTAATAAATACTGTAAATTTAGTTATGCTAGCAAGTGTGGAAATATTAAAATCAGGTGTGTTACCACTAACCTCGCGTTACTTTGTGCCCCGCGCTCCCCTACACTAAGGGACAACTGTCATTTTAAGTGATCTAAAAGAAATTAAACGCTAAGAATATTCCCAAAACTATACATATCATTATAATTCATTAAATGCATTACCCCCAGTGCCTTTGGTTGTGCTTTGAAAAATCCTTTAAGAGCTGAATTGTGAGATACTCCTCTGGCCTGCTGTCCATCAACAAAAACAACACCATCTTTTGCCTCCTGTGGATTTATTTGACAGGCAGTTGTGCCTGTGGCTTTGTTGTGGTTGTTTGACATTTACTTTCCATTTTTCTAGTTGTACCTTTGCTGTAGTCAACCATGTGGAGAGATTGCTGACATGAGCAGACTGTAGCATTGTAGCCTACAGTACTTGTGCACTCCAGATTTTTAGGCTGCTATGAGCATATATGTAGATATGTAGATAACTACAGCATATAGAAATAGCATCATCTGACTAGTTATAGTTGTCACAACACCACTACCAGAATCATTTCATTTTTCAGTGAAACACCCGTCACAGAGGCAGGTGGCTTTGAAGATACTGAGACAGATGCAGAGACCACAAATGCTTATCATTGATGTGTTTTCTTGTCATGCACAGGAAAAGCTTCTTGAACCCTGGTTTTAACTGACAGTAACATTTACTTTCTGACTCCAGACATTCCAAATATGCTGGGTCCCCAGTTGCATGTTAAAAATGTACTGGTCCCAAAGTCAAGCGTAAAACTAAGACTAAACATACAAGCCCAGTGTGTGGTTGCATTAAATGCTTAGACTAGTCTTACAATTAAGTCATCTAATGTTTTCCTTGTCATCTAAACTTTTTCAAGTCAGTTACATAAAAATGTAGATTGGTCTAATTTGAATCCAAAAAAGTAAGATTGATTGCCCTTTGAATAACTGCTACTGTAGTTCGTCAGACTTGTTCTTAATAAACAGTCTTAACATAATGACTAAGTTTGTACAAGCGGCCCCAAGATCTACTCATTTAGAAGCTTGGTTAACAAATGCAATCTTTTGTCCATGTCAAACATGAAATAGAAGAATAGCCATTCCAAATAATTCTATAATATACACAAATACTCTTGTTTTATTCTGTTCAGTTCCAGTAACACAACATACATACAAAAAAAAAAAAAAAACTTTTCTCAATTTTCTAAGGAAGCTGATACCGCTGTGGTAAAAGAGAGTTTACAATGGAAAGTATTGTGGTTGACTTTTATTCTACTTAAATGCATCAGTAGTTGGTTAAAAGTGTTGGTTAAAAGCTCCTTTTTTCTTTTTCTTTCTTTTTTTACTGGTCCTAAAATGGTGATTGAAAAATTATAATTTTTTCTTGAATATTGGAGCACAAAACATTGTAAAAAAAAAAAAAGGATTTAATTCAAACATGTGATGTATTTTCATGTGTGTTTGTGGCAAGGTGACAGGATCCTGACACTCTTGTCTGGTTCGGTTTACATTGAGATCAAGATACCCATGCTCCATGTTTGGTCTCTTGTTGTGAGCACATGGCTTGTGATTGTTTTCACTGACCGTGTGTACTTGTATTTCACACACAAAAAGAAGCTGCAGTATAATAATATTTTATGTGTTGCAGTCTAACAGCAATCAGACCACCACAGCATATTGAGGCCATGAGTTTTTTATTTTATCACAGAAGAAAATGAAGAAAAAAAGAATCAAAATCACACACAATTTTAATTCATCATTAAATGATTCATCCGCAGTGCCTTTGTTTTGTTCTTTGAAAAATTCTAAAAGAGCCGTATTGTGTTTTGTTCCTCTGGCTTGCTGTCCATCATGACAAATCTGTGGATTTACTTGGATGACAACTGTAGCTTTGTTAGTTGAAATGACATTGCTGCTTTCCATTTCACTGAATCACAAAAGGCTAAACTACAAATGCAAGATATATATACCATCCTGGTTAACAGATACAGTACAATCTTTGATGCATGTCAAACATAAAATAATATAACAGACATGTTAGTTACAAATGAGACTCAGAATCATTATCAGACAGAATCATTATCAGTTTTAATTCTGCTAGCAAGAGCCACACACCTGAAACACCATATTTTTATAGGCTGAGAGAAACCCACCTCAACCTAATTAAGTAGTCCAAAAGTATGAACAATTCTGTAGTTTACAATAAAGCTGTATGCTGTGATCAGGTTATACTGTAGGTTATTTATATTTATTTTACAATCTACTAGCTTTAACTTTGGTTGTGGCTTGTAATAGCAACACCACCATTAAATCATTTAAGTGCCACATTGACCACTGTAGAATGGATGTTGCTGGTGGCTTTGCAGGCAAATGCTGAGATAAAGATGGAGATGATGAACTGAGGAATGGTGAACACCAGCATTACTCCAACAGTCCACAAAATAAAACTCTGCAAAACATTCAACATGGCCATATATGAAAGTAGTTCCAAGAAAAAACATCCATCAACTACACTGAGTGAGTTACTAGAAATTATATTAAGCAGGTATTTTGAGCTAAATATGAGGGCATATCAACAAACAGGATTAAGCAAGAGGTCACAAAGAAAGAAAGAAAGAAAGAAAGAAAGAAAGAGAAGTCATTCTTCTATGGAACATGACACATTTTGAAGACAGTTTTTTGCGATTACAATAAATGGTAACTGGAGCTTTCAAGCTTCAAAGAAAACACAAATCAAAAACAACTGGATTGTTATTATTATTATTAACTTGATAATCTGTCCTTCTAGTGAGGTGTTGGATTGAGTCTTGAACTTCAGAAATAAATTAGTCCAAATAATGGACAAGTCTGAATTTGTGAACCGGAAAAATAAAGTTCATAAATAGGACTTCATCTGCATCTCTCATGAACTCTTATGAACATGCCAAGAAAAAGCTAAAGCAGATGCTAGAATTTTCAGTGAATAATGACTTAGAAGTCTGGTTCTTACAGAAAGTTATTGTATGGCTTGTAATATATTGTATTGCACAGATCACACGGACTGCTTTTGTGATAGTTTTAAAATTCTTGTCCCTAGTCATTGTAAATGTATGTTATAGAGTGACCCATGCAGTCTTCATTATATAAAACTGCAATTAAAGACTAAAACAATTTAATACACATTACTCATTAATAATGTAATGAGATAACACTGATAACACTCTGGCGTTTTGAGTGGTGAGTGGATTCTCACCGCCTCTGACTTGCCATCCCATTCTAGAAATCAACAGATATGTCTGTAGTTGGCGTTATTG